ACAACTACTTGCTTCGGTCGATATTATCAAAGTGAATGAATTTATTCGCCGTGACAAAAAAAAATAATAAAAAGAATAAACTTCGAAATCGAAGCCACTTAATATATGCTTAATATATGCACCTCAATGCATCTATTACTTTCAAATCTAGCGCAAAAAAATATTAATGTATATCACAGTTTTAGTAATATTATAGTAGAAAACATAATTTTATACAATAATAAAAAACATTATTGATAGAAATATTTTCTTAATTAGTTATATAGTCTTTGTCCAGAGGAGTAGTTCTTCATCGACTGCTTGTTTCTAAATTTTAAAGTTTCATACGATATAGTTTTTTTTAATCAGTGGGAAGTTGATCGGCAACATCTGGGAAAATGGACAATTATGTAATATGTGCGGTAAACCGCATTCTTTGGCGAAAATGCAGAATTAAATAAGTCTGCAGCAAACGTAAGACGTACGTCAAGGAGAGGCAGGTTACCGGCCAATGATCCGTTATTACTTATTATCTATCACTCAAGCAGCTACTCTGTCTGGCGGCTACGACTAATTGTTGCCGTCTAATTGACAAAGTTCTCAGGCTCGAACACGGCCTTCCCGGCAATGCCGCGAAGCGGCAATCGCTCTTTCCCGCTCTCTCTATTTCTGCCGTGGCATGGCGGAGGAAAAAACGCGCGAGTTCCTACTTCGTTATCGGGATTTCGCTCTGGGGGTTGTATCCGAAACGAGCTTAAATCGGCGATCGGAGAAAGGATCGACCCGACGAGACCTCGTTAGATTTATCGAGGTTTCCTACGATTATCTGCCGTTAAACGTTTTATCATTCTCCCGGACACGCTCGATAGGGAAAGGAAGAGTTCTTGGCACGGGTATCGATTTAAGAAAAACCTTAGCGACCTTAGGGTCTGCGATTTGTTGTCTTTGGCGTAAATTAATTTTCTATATTCTATATTCTAAAATGAAACAATAATATACAATAAACGTTCGATATATATATATATCGTAGAACTTTCAATTTTCTTTACAAAATTATGGAAAAAGATTATGAATAGTTTTGCTTCTCTTTTAGATATTTTCTCATTATTTTTTTTTTAGAAGCGTAAAATTAACATTATTGCCCCATATCTTTATTAATATTAATTCTTTTTGAAAATAAAATAATTAGGTAAAATACAATGCGACGAATCATTATGTTGAATGTTATGTTGCATATGATATTCAATTTTTGTATGTATCCTGATACTATAGAAACTATGAGTATAAAGTGAAATATCGTGGTTACATATTTTGCGGATGTGCGGGTTTAATGGGATAATTAATCTTGCACGACGATATGATTCGTTTGCATCGCGTGACAGATTTTCGTAGCGACTCATTACATGATTATTAGTCATTTCCTTGTCGATCTTTTATAAAACGTGATTCTACAATTAATGAATTTATAGTCGCGAGGATGTAAGTGATTGAAGTACAAACATAATAAGAAATCAGTATGTCGGGAATTTAGTTCTTTCAAGATTTACAACATCTTGAATATCAAGAAGTTCATTCTTGATTCTATTCTCATCACTTTGTTGGCAAAAAATTATTATGCAATTGTTGTGAAGAGATATTGTTATATATATTTTTTTATTTTATAAAAAAATGATATATGTTGAAATGTAATCAGCATATAAATATACAATTGATGTGTTTATCTTAGATAGTGCTCGACAGATAAATTGTAGCTCGTAAAGATGTCCATAAAAAATTGTTATGATCACATTAGTTTCAATTATGTAATTCCTTTTTTTGCCTTATAATTTCGTACTTTGAACAAATTCCAACGCAGTGTAAATTGACGTAATATTTAAAAGGAAAGCTAAATATCTACCTCATGTGTAAATTAATTAAAAAATTTTAATGCATGAAATGTAAACATTAGTTCTTTGTACACAGTTCTTTGTATTTTGTATCTTGTGAAATTCGTATAATTACCTTGAAATGTTTATATATCTTTGCTGTATAGGGAAGCATTGGTCAGTCGCGTCAGCGTTTGTCTTAAGTTGACACTACCCTTATTCTTTTCATGGATGCCGTTTAAATTCGTCGTTTCTGCTTTCGAACATGATTTCGACACGAGGACAACCCCGTGGTAGGTAAACGCGCACGCATTGCGGACGACAGCTGTCAAATAAATGTTAAAAAAAAGCGCTAGCCGAGCGAAATTTCGAGTGGGACGTGAGTGAAGAAGGGTGCGTGCCCACCCCTAGTGAAATACCCTTAGCCCGCGGGGCAAAAGGCTCTGCACAATTTTTCCAGAGTTCGCTCTTCCTGCAACGGGCGGTCGATAAGTCACCGCTAGACTAGTTTCGCGGCCTTGAAAATCGGTCGAAATGATTTTTCCACATTATCATAAAAATAAAATTGTACGAAAATGTTGTTTACTCTTTTGTAATTTTACTGCAAGAAAGTTGTAATCAATTGTCTCAATTGCCACATATGAATGTGATCAAATAAATCGCTTACTTGTAATAAATGTTCTATTTTTCTATGATTTCTATTATATAAATTATCAAAATATATATAATAATAAATTAATATGGAGAGAAATCAAATTAAATTAAACTATAAATTATATTCCTTCTTTTATTTATTGCAGAGATAATATAAACATAAAAATAGAAATACTGTAAACTTCTAAAGCGCAATAATCGATCAAATTTTTCCTGATTTGTAAGTTTTGTAAATTTGTAAATACACTTCCAAATTTTCGAAATAAAAATGTCAGAACGCTTCGCATTACGTTTACTTCGCGATGTGGGATGTGCGTTTCGTCTTTTTGAATTTAACGAAGTAACGAAAGCTAAAAGTCCCTCGACAATCTGAAGTCTCACGGTGCTGAGGAGGGGTGGCGACGTAGCGTTGAGGGGCAAATTTTCGAGGGTGGTTTCGCGCGTCAATGGTTTATTAAGAAGCACTTGTTTAAAGGCAGCCCCTTTCAGATCCGACAGCCAATTCGACCACGACGTTTGTGTCACTCGGATATATAAATGGATGGAACGGGCGGGGGTGGCTGGCTGGTTGGCTTTGGACTACGCGCGAGCGGAGGACGGTCGAATCCACCCCACGGCAATCCGTCGTGTCGTCGTAATTGAAGTTATTGCAATATTGTGTCCTGTCAGCTCCGCTATCCTCGCTATCGTCCTATTTCTCTCTATCTCGCGAAATCCACTCTTCGACTTTCATTGCCTTGGACGCGATGTCAAGTTTGCATGATCGCATAACGCATTGCGAATAACGTTAATTTTTCTGTCGCTTTAAACGAGACTCTAACGAATTATAACTGACTTTATTTGAATACTTTGGAAATTTCGACAGCATGTTAAAAGAAAATCAAATAATTCTCACAAAATTCGCTTTTTACCGACGCGTTGATTTTTCGTTTTTAAACTATCATAGAATTTGTATTGTGCAATTAAATTATCATGACCCAATCTCAATGAATTATTATAATTTTATATTACATTTAATGATTCGATTCTACTAGTATAAGTCGCGATATCACGTAGTATCACAGGAATCACAGAACGAAAGTCCTTTCTGAGAGTGCCTTCAACGCAAGTGCCCAAGGCAAAGTTAACTTTATCCTCACTTAATCGCCTTTTCGATAGATACGAGCCGATCCCTTTGTTCAGACAATATCTCCGCACGTTGTTTCCGCTAATGTATGCACCAAGCCTCCATCTCTCCCTCTGGATCCTCGCGATGACTCCGGCACTCCTAACCCCATAGCCGCCACCACCCCATACGGGAAGCGGCGGAGACGAGGGAGAGAACCTCGTACTCGTTCGCCTTTATTGAATTTTGGGACCGTTCCAGTTGGAGGAGAGAAGTACCGCGAGAGAGGAAACGAGAGATACTCGTGTACACGCGCGACGAGAGACGGAGAGGGAAAAGGGCTCTGGGATAGCCTGTGGGGTGCGAGCCAGAATTAATTCACATCCCGCTGCATTGCTTTTTACGATATAACTGCGGTTTGTTAGTCGTTATTCACGGTACGAATTCAATTTCATGTCCGGCTCGCAGGCTAGAAACAGAGGCTGCAAGCCTTCTAATGCTCTCTCTCTCTCTCTCATTTCACGAGAAACGTGCATTCGTCGCATATAATGACAATAAGCATCTACGAAAAGGATTAGGAGTAAAGATGAAAACAAAAATATTCAGAAAATCTATGTTCAAGTAACGAGTGGGATTATTCTAAAAAATTACTCTTGTGATGAAAGAGAATAATTTAAGAAATTTCAAAATTTAGTACAAGTTTAGTTATCTTAATAAAATTTAGAATTAAAATAATTTTAAATTTCATCTTTTAAGTAAAATATAATTTATTGAAAACATAATTGCTTAAGAGAACACAAGCAAAAGATTTTTGTAGTCATAATGTTCTGGTCGACACGTGGTATCGTACGCCACGTGGGAGCGCCGTGAGTGAGAAAAATCGAGCGGCGGCGAGCGCGTTACCCATTTCGCGTTACGTTAAATCGCTCGTTGGCGAATGCTTTTCGACCGGTTACGGATGGCGCGATAAAGCACACCGAGTAACGCGAGATACGACCAATTAGCTCGTGTGCCAAGTATACGATTTAAGCGGGCTGGCGAAGCCCCGGAGGCATTGCCAAACGACGATTTAAGCCGACATCTTGTGGCGAAAAAGAGGATGTACTGCGTATTGTCTATCGCGGATTATAATCTATGGTATCATTAACCTATCCTATGTTATAGAGTTATTTCTTTATTTTAAGTTTCTTTCATAAAATAAAGATTAGAAATATGTAAAATCGAACAATGGTCTCCAAGTAAAATTGCATTTTTCCTCCAAATAGTATGAAATAATAATGATTTTTATCATCAGGAAATATTTAACTATTTTTTTTACTTAATTATCTTTTATCACAATAATAGTTTCTTTACTGCTCTATGCAAAGAAATTATAAGTAGATACTGTATATACTCACCCTGATTGTCATCAATGTCGAAGTAATATCCTCTTTGACTTTTCTCTGTTTTTCTCATCCTCTTCTCTTCTTCTATCCTAGAAATCGTATCTACCACTTCTCCTTTTCTACATCCCTCCCCGTCACAGTTGACATCCCCACCGCCCACCGATAGAACCTTTGCGGTCAGGAGGAGAAGGGGCACGGACTGACTACCACGTGATCCATGTGATCGGAACTTGTGCGAGGCACACAGCGATATACTGTCACACACGATGCGTCTAATCACTTTCTTTCGTTTACCGTGCCACCATTTTATCTCGATTGGCTCGATTGGCTCACGGTATCTCCTCTTCGCTGAACCTCCGCTCTTTTGTTACTTCTTTCCTTTGCGTTCCATGGAAAACGAACGACGAACACGTGTAGCGAATTTCCTTCGCGTTTTACTTCTATTTTTACTTCTATTTCCCTCTCCCTCTCGTCGCTCTTTGTCTTATCCGATCCCTCTCTCTCTGTATTTTTTTTATATCTCTCCCCTCTCTCCCGCTATTCTCGCGGCTGCTGCCGAGAAGCGTGCTTTGCGACTACTATCTGCCGCGTAGCGAGTCGACCGCGGGACTTTGGTATACTGGGAGTATGGTAAGTAGATACACCCCTGCCACCGTCCCCACGAGGAACCCATGCGTTCTCCCGCTGCTTCCCACCGAGCCCCGCCGACGGCCTCCCCCGTTCTCCGATCTCCCATCGTCGCAGTTGCTACCGCGTTGTCCTCTCACCACTCTCCTATCCGGCGAACCGTGCTTTGCCGCCCCTCTCGCGCCGCCTCCACATTTTGCTCGCGAGGCCCCAGGGACGTATCAATCGTCGATTTACCGGAATTCCGTTTTTTTTTTTTTTTCATAGACCTGTAGATAAACCTCGATGGTTCGTAAGAACAATCCCGTTGCATCCCGAACAAATGGATCAATCTAGTCTTGATGGGTCCGAACATGAAGATATGATATCGCACATTAACACATAAGCGAACACGATAAATCAATTTGAAAAAAATCTGTTTCCATTTTTAATAAGCACATAAATAACAATATATTAACTGCTTTAGCCTTTTGATCACAGATCAGATTTTTTTATCATCTAATTTCGTTCGACTTCTTTACAATTGCTATATATATTCTTCCTCACTTTTAGTTGAACAATGTCCATGAGAAACATGAATAGATAAGATACAAAGATATTGTGTGTCGTCAAAATGACATCGATCGATTCTTCCGGCAATAAACAGCTGAATTCGGATATGGTAGGAAAAGACGCACGGCCCTGAAAGATCGCTACCACTACCGCGTACTGGCAAACGTATAAAAGACAGCGTTTGCATGCTAACATATCTATTATAATGGCGACGTTGTGGCCTCTTTCTCGTGCACGCGCGTTCCATTGCCGTCGCACTTACGTTCTCCTCCCTCTCGCTCGTTCCTCCGCGGTGCATCCCGTCTCACTTCGCCGCGCGCATAAATTACCGCTTTCAAATGCAAAAGTATGAATGAGATAAAGTTCCCCGACGATCGTCTTTCCTCTTTCTGCCACTGGCACGGTCGCTCTTACTTCCTTCCTATCTCCCCTTACGTCTCTGTATCACTTATTTTCGGAAATTGATTACACGCATTATCACCGGATTGATTGTAACAGAAATTTATTTTGTACCCTTATTCGCGTGTGATATCTATATTCTCTTTTTTATTTTAATGTAATTCGTCATATGAAGAAATAAAATTATTAGAGTATTGAATTATTATTATTATTCTATAAATGGACATCGTAAAGGGGGATCCAGATTATGATACACCGCTCGCATATCTATTAGAACAGCATGCGTTTTTTAATAGATATTACCAAGCATGTTTGTTAAAAATTGTTAATGCCATGTATCTCTAAAGATATTTTTAAAAAATCCGATTTTAATTTAATAATACGCAAACGTAATTTTTAGAGATTTTAAAAGATTGTATAATATAAAAACAGTTCATTACAAAAACAAAATGCAATTGTTATTCGCAAATGTTAAATAGTACCTTAGGATTGTATAAGTGAATAAAGCAGACGCATGCTGTTCTAATAGATATGCGAGCGGTGTACCATAATCTGGATCCCCCTCTACGGTATCCATTTATAGAATAATAATAATAATTCCGAAGCCAACGAGGTTCCGCTAATGTCGTCACGTTAGATAGTTACAGTCATCCGGTCCCGTAATAAAAGGGTTGACGTGTGCGTGTCATCCGTGCGGAGACTAATCCCTTCGTCCAAAATTCGTCATAAGCCACGGATCGATGACGCGAAGCACGATTCCTCGCCAAACAATCGTTGCTCATTCGAATTATTTATGTCAATGGCAAAGCAAAATTTCAAAACTCGCCCGGCCGATATGTTATCGCGTTTGATTGAAATTTCCTTATGTAGGAAGGTAGTATAACGGGCAGCAAAAGATAACGCTTCTGTCAACATACGCACGTCCGTTTATGTTAATCAGGCGTGTGACGTCATTGTGATGGTCCTAGGCGACGCGCAATATCAACCCCTAACTTTGTCGCAAGCAACAAAACGTGCATGCAGAGCGTATCACGGTCCCGCCGTAATGATCCCCCTCCCCACTGACCTCTCCTCCCTGCTTTCCTTCTATCCTCCTGTACACCCTTTGTCGACGTTAACCCAAAGTGAATGGTCCTACACCGCCCGTTGCAGCGCGATGGGTTTTAACTTCGGGGTGACTTACTCCGAGCGTTATCTATTTTGACAGTGCGGTACGCCCGCGGTCTGTCATGGGGTCGTTGTAGAGGGGCGTCGCGGTAATTGTGTTTTAACTACGCTCTACATCGTCGCGCGCGATAGTCTTCGTCCATTGTTCCAAATCATTGTAAAATATTCTTTGACGCGTTACGTCATTAGGAAATGACGGAAATGACGTGCGTTCTTCGAAACATATATTTCGAAAAACACGGCATATCTTGCATCGCTTAACAAAATCACTGCAAAGTGCGAACAAAAAATGGTAAGTCATCAATCTTTTTTTATCTAATCTTTATTACGATACCATTGTTTTTTCGTCAGGATGTCTAACTTGCAAATTAACGATAAACAGAGTAGCTACGGTACTTGTACACGGTCAGCCGCCATTTGCGTCGATTTTGTAAAACTACAGCGCGTAAGCTATATAGGAAACATGGGCGGATCCTATACAATATGGCATTCAATTTGCGACGGATTCGCTGTCTGGCAACGCAAACAACCGCTATTGGGTTTCATTTAATGAACCAAGCCGGAGCCTTCGGAAGCATTTTTGCGCTGTGGGCTCGGCTTAAATTGAACGTCCTCCCCTTTCTCTTTCATCCGTTGTCTATCTTCGCTCATTTTATATCTGCTTCCTGCGACTTACGCCTCGATGGCGCGACCTGATACAGGAAGCTGCAACCGTTTTATCGTCAGAACGTGTTTGTAGAATTAAATTATAAGGATTTGGAAGATCGAAGTAATAGACGTTGAAAAAAAAACTACTTTTTTAACCATGCCTCTTTTCTTCTTTTATTTAAAGCAAAATTAAAATCGTTTACTTCTCGATAGATTGCGTTTTTACGAACACACTAGCTTGGACACGTCGACGAAACTTGGGCCTCGTTAAAAATATTACGGCTTACAAGACAATCCTCTTAAAAGTGCTGCGGGATATGGAAGTGCGATCAGGGGATTCTCGTGGGGGCAGGGGCAGGGGGATAGAGCAGGAAGGGAGTGAAGAGCCGGCACCGTAGCCGGTATCGGCGCCGTATCGTTCCACCGCGCAAGTGTCCGGTAAGGTAAGCGGATCCACGATAATCCGGATTACGTATTTGCCCGGTTCTCTGCCTCCTGCCATCTCGATCTCACGCCAGTCGGAGAGCCAAAGACGTATTTGCCTCGTGGCATCGCACCGTCTGCTGTTCGTAATCTGTTTAACGCTTTACGAATGGCAGCCGGTCGTTTCGCGAAGCCACGAAAATGCGTGTAGCGAACCATGTATGTATATCATTATCACGATGTACCGTCACGATTAAGAATATACTAGAAAAATAATTTTCAATACTTTTTTGCCAATTACAAGACGTATTTATTCGAACATGCGTAATATGCAACTATTGTGAAACGCGATCGCGTGTCCTTGTTTTGTCGAGTGATTTACACAGATCTCTCGATGAAATAATATAATTTTATACATTACCCAAAAGAAAAAAATATTCAAAAGAAAAAATTTTAAAAGATTAATCTAAAGGTTATGTATAATACTCTATATTTGTTATGTCATTATAAAAATAAATAAGAAATAGAAAGATTATTTACGAGTACGATTGAAATTTTTGATAGGATTTAAAATAATGCTTTGTTTCTGTGCCTACATAAATTTTGTTCGCCATGCTCTCGTTTCCATCAAATGGCATATTGGCGCATTGGCGCGTGAAAAACGGAGAAAAACGTAATTTTTAACCGGATCTGCACATTCATATCCCTTCTTCGCGGACGCGCGCGGGGACCTCGACATCGATCGGTTGCGATCTTTAAACAGCGCCATTAACGATTGCGTGCACAGGCTGAAGGGTCGCGATCAAATGAATATGATGAAAGAGTGGCGGCATTAGGCGAACGTGCCGTGCATACTGATTTGCGGCTGATTGATTGGACCCCTTTCCACTCGACAACGCCGCGCCACCGCGGCTCGACCCCCGCCCCCTCAATTCCACCCTATGAGTGAGCCAACAGCGCTGATAATATCAAACGAACGACTGGTATTCGGAAACGTCGATGACGAATAGAAATTAATAATTGTAAAATAAAATTTTGCGAAACATGTCAACCCTTAATGAAAGTTTGATATATAAGAAGAATTTTTTTTTTTTAATTTATTTATAATTCAGGTATTAATTCCTCAAATGTACTCTGGTGTAACATATCACAAAACAAAATAAAATGATATTAATACAGATAACCTGTTATTGAAATAAAATGCTAATGTTTAAGGACGCAATCAACAAACGATTATTTCGTGATAAAGTTTTAATAATCGATCATTCGCGGAATGTTAAATCAGAATTGTTGTCATTGCCTCGGAGCTGCGTCAGCGTGCGGCCTAGTAATTTTCGAAATTAGTCAAATGGACGCGATGCGCGCCGCGTGGGGTCTTACGAAGGAAGATAGAGAGAATACGAGAGCGAACGATTATGCGAGTTAATCCACGGCCACGACGACGACGACGACGACTTGTCATGCGGAAGTCGGATCTGGTGGAAGAACGCGAAGCATTTCGTCAGCAACGACGACGGCTGACTGGCAGACGGTGGTGGTTTGGTTATCTTCATTGTGCCGTTGGTCGGGTTTACGCGAACTGTTGGGCTGTAACGTAATTGTTTTTGACGCGGTAATTTTACAGTGTCGTGCGTACACACACGCGTCGGTTGCGCGCGGGCATATCGGACACATCCGCG